AACCAACTCGGGTCGCGACCAGAGTCGCAGAACGAATTAAGTTCGTGACCTGAGGTACCACTGTATTTCCTTCCCATTTCGCTCTCTCCCAGATATCTGTAATGCCATTTGAAAAGTTTTTAACAAAACTATCTGTTAACAAACTCTGGTCTCTCATCAAAGGCATCATCACAGTGTTTTTGTTAGGAACCATAATTTAAACTAATATCCAATCAAAATAAGACATCATGCTATCTTAAGAATCCTCACAACAGAAACAAGCAGAGAGAAAAACTCTTACACTACAGATTTATCTGTTATTTTAATTTCTACTGCATTACAAGTGTGTAATCTTGGCATCTACAGGAAGGCTAATTCTAAATTCAAACACTCATTCCTTCTTCTTTCCTTCCATTCACATTCATACTATCCAGAGAAGGTCTCTGAACAATTTCCCTCTAATTATTAGCAAATACCTCTACAGAAGAGGAAGCTGTGTGAGAAATTTTCCACACTTGCTTTCTCTATTCAACAGAACTTAGAATATTGGGGACCATTTATTAAATTGTAGCTGATCTGGTTTTATTTCACAGGATAAAACACAGGTAATTCTTGGGTCATTCGTTTGGTTCCATCCAGTGTACTAGCCCCATGGAACTAGTTCTGTTCCAGTCTTGCACTAAACCAGAGACTGCAACCAGTTGTGTGTTAAGATCCAATTTCTTATTTACTATTACAAAGATATTTATAGATATGAATATATAGCCACTGACCTTTGAACAGAAATGTAGCCTTGGATATGCTTAACAAACTATATTGGGAACACAGTTCATGTAGTCAAAAAAATGTTCCAGCCCTCACAGCATACAGGGGGTTAATACTTGTGTTTACTAGTGCAATAAACACCTTTGGTTCAGACAGCATTCTAGGCAGCAAAATTAGCAACAAAGACTTATTTACTTAGTTGCAAGGGAATTTTTTAGGGTGGCATAGCTACATATTGCACATTATTGCAATAATCTGTTAACTGAACATGTTGGTCTCCCTATACAGAATTTTCAAACATTCTGTAGTTTCAAAATAATGGGTTGCATCTGCCCATGAAGGCCATTCCCCTCCTCTGAAATCTCACAGACACACACACAATGTTTGTGCACAGTTCTCCTTCTATACAGTGGAAGGCAGGGTACAATGGCCCCCTTCTACTTTTGCACAAAGGAATAACTGCTGCAGGGTGGAGTTTTGACCCAGGGAGCATAGATCTGGAGGAAGAACTGTCCTATCCACTGACATCATCCAGCTAAGTGGTAGTGTGGACTTAGGAGTGAAATTCCCCACTCCTAAAAGATAATACAGCAATAATACCTGTTCCTAAGCTTTTGACAAACCACTCCTTTATGTACCCTCTAGAACTCCTGCATTTAGGCTGATGCAGGTTCTAGGGCAACCTTCCCCAAGGTTCCCTCCAGATGTGCAGACATCAACTCCCAGAATTCACTTTGCAGCACGGTCACTGCTGTGAATTTGGAAGTTGAGGTTCACACATCTGGAGAGCATCTAGTTGGGGGAAGGATATCCTACAGCCCGATCAGTCTTAATGATGGGGATCATGAATACAAATCCTTCTGAGAAATTAGTATTAAATGTTTAATTCTGGATAATGAGCTAAATTTATTCTAAAACATAACATGTCTTATGCAAGAAAAAACAATGAAGTCAACTTCTTGCCAATTTCTATTCTTGAATCCACTTGAAAAATCTATGCAAGTTCTGCAATATAATTTGTGTCAATACAACATAGCTCTTTCACATGCTCTTCCTCCAGAATTTATTTCTCATTATGCAAGCATCTTAATTTCTAGCTTAAGCATCTTAATTTCCAGTATATTATGGCACAGCTCATCCTGGCAAATCACCTTACCCGATGTTCATTGATCAAAAGGTCCCGCGCAGCATTAAAGATCAACGTGTGCAAATGCTTGGAATAGAAGACCAAAGTGTAGTCGTAATCAAAGCCGTAGATTTCTATGTCTGAGAGACTCATTTCATTGTTGGAAAATATAGCATCCGGATTCAACAAATTACTCATGATGGAAGGGACTAAGTCTATGGAAGAAAGAGACACATACAAACACTTGTTCAAGAACAAGTACTCATAATACATATATATTACAAATGGGGTGCATTTACAAGGAAATAAAGGATACTTGATGCTATTCTTTAGCTGATATGAGGCCAATTCCCATCTGTTCAGTACCTTGTTCAGATAGCAGCCGCTCAGAGCTTCCCAAAGGAAGATCAGGGTATAAATATAACAGCCAAACAAAAAGCAGGGCCACTGCAAGCTAAGCAATAAACTTGCTATTTTCCATTTACATAGGCAATTTCATGGAATGAATAGGCCAGATGGGGGTAGTAACTCAGAACTCAGGATGATGTTACTGAACACCAAATCCATCTGTAATAAAACCAGACTCATCCATGACTGCAGACAAAAGGATGTGGCATGTATCACTGAAATGTGGCTGAAGTGGGTCGGGGGATCCCCCTCACAGAAATAGGGCTTCCTGTTTTGCTCAACCCCATCTGTCATGAACAACACTGTTCTGCAAGCAGCCAGAAGTGAGGCCTTAATTGAGATGCTGAGCTAAAAAGACTAGCTGAGAGTACAGTTATTATACTGTCCTCCTAGCTAAATAGTAGCATCCCTCACCGAGCTACAAAATTTCATTGTGGAGATGGCTGTTTCCACTTCCCTTCTCTGTGTTCAGCAGAGGTCAGTGGCCATCATGAGTCATGGGTTTGTCCCAGGACATCACTGACCTAACATGTGGCTGGCTACACTTCAGATTTTTTCACCTTGGGACAAATGTGCCATGATTTGGTTCTTGGGAACTTTCCCCACAATCCATTCTCGTGAACAGATCACTTCCTTGTGCTGATGGGGTTAACTGGAGCTTACAGACAACAGCTTGTCCTTGAAATGCAAGATGTTCCTTTTCTGGATACTCTTTTACCAGTTAGGAGTGTCTTCACCACTTCTAGCTTTGCCTTTAAAAGGCTTACTGAAGTGTTTTCTTTTTGGTTTCCCCTTTTGTATTTTAAAGGTGCGTGTGTGTACACAGGACATCTCAGCAAGTGGCATCACCCAGGTGACTTTATCTGGGCTGAGAAGCTAAGCAGGGTTTGGCACTGCTTGAATGAGACACCACCAGGGGATATGAGAACTTTATGCTAGACCAGGAAGTTAAAAAAAAAAAACATCCTGGAAGAAGGCAATGGCAAACTACTTCCATAATATTATCAATGAAACTATTGTGACATGTCCATAAGTCACCAGGAGTCAAGTTCAACTCAGAGAAGACTTTTCACAATGTATGATTTTATACTATATTATGGCTTTAAACTGCTGTAGGATGCTCTAGATGATGCAGCATGGGCCCTACAAAAATAAAATATATATTTATATACAGATAAAATAAAAATCTTCATTCAGGCATAAAGCTAAGCTAATGCACAAAATTCCTGTGAAGATGAAATTGGAAGGCCTAATTAGAGTATCCTGAGCTCACTGGAGGAAGTGCAAATATGAAAAATGAATTCATTATTACTTTAACTTTATAATGCTCAGTTGTTGAAGCTGAAGTTCATAAGTTACTTGTTATAGGGATCATAACTGAGACAACAATGAGACACTTGAGTATTACATGTAATTTATTAAAGCAATCTTGATTTCACACAGCTGTAGATTCAGGCCCGTGTACACCACAAATGCCATAAGGTAGCACCTTATTGTACCATAAAAGTTAGATTACTTTTATCACCAGCTGAACAGCTAGTTAGATATTTATGTCCAACAGAGATTCAAAAGTTGGATCAAGAGATTCCCATCTTGGTCCAGTCCAAAGCTTCCTTCAGAAATGTCAAAACAGAATATCAATCAGAAGGGATGTAGAAAGAAGAACCAAGATGCAGTTGTTGGACAACTGAAGCCAGGAAAAATTCCCATTGATTTTACCAGTTTGAGGTATTCTATCCTTAATTTTTACTAAGCAGTTAAAAAAAGTTGTACAGCTTTTATTTAACATTGCCTTAAATTATATATTAGCTATTTTCTGCATTAACTTATATTTAAAATCATCATCTCATTTCTTTCATACATTATATATTTATAACTTACATTACTACTTACAGTATATACAGTAGAAAAGATAGATTGTACATAAGTAAGCAACAGCTTGCTTATTGTATAAATGTTAACATTAAATAACATTGGGTTTTATGGTTAGAAAAAAGAAATTTATAATGGTTGGGAGACAATACACGCAGCAAAATACAGTCAGACATGCAGGCTAAAGTGTTCAGCAAAGTTAATGTCAGGAGGGTAAATTTAAAAGATTGATTTACTTTTGCCAGCACCTGCAAAAAAAAAAAACCACACCATAATAGACTGCTCCATGTTAAGATTTAGACAGTCATGTTCTCTTCTAGAATCATCCATCCATCATCCATTTAGCTTTGTCATCTTTGTGGTTATCTTGATACCACAAGATTTTGTTCATTGCCAAACTTTTCAGTTACTCATTATTTTGGCCTCAGCATTTTAATGTTTGAACTACTTGACTCTTGTCTTACTGCTGAATTTAATGTTATGTCTTGTTTTGTATTTTAATTGTTTTTATAATGCCTTACAAGTTGCCCAAAGCATTTGACGTAGCACAAAAATGTTGTTAATAAAGAAAACCAAAATACTCTCTGATTTGTAGCTCACTTTCTCAGCCACCAAAGTATACCAGCTCTCAGATTTCTTTCTTCTGTTTATAAAACTTGCAACTATCTTAATTGGATAAAACTGCTGCAAGAAAATCTTTGCCTAATAAGGTAAATGAAAGAATATATTCTAGAACACTCCTCAAAGCCTGAAGCTGCATAACAATTTGGAATTTTAAAAAAAAGTGCATACCCAACAAGGGGTACTTTGAAACAGGCATAATTTAGCACAGGAACATGAGGGTATGAAGCATACTTTCTGCAACTGGAGCACAAAACCAAGAGAAAACTTAATCTAACTTATGCAGCAGCTGATCTGAAGAGCATCTGAAACTATGTTTAGACAATTCCTGTGAAAAAAAATCCAAGCTTCTGAACTCATATACTATATAACCTTATTTCAAGAGTACATTTAAAATGCAAATAAATAATTGAAAATATGGTACTGAAAATGGATTTAGAATGAAAAAGCATACTACTAGAAGCCCCAGCTTCCAATAGTATGAAGCAGCCTTTCTTTACCAGGAGCAAGTATATTATATTCATACACAACACTAAACCATGGCTTGTTTTAGCATCTCTCTGTTGAATTAGCTACTATCTGTTGAGAAAGGTTGCATGAGTCTGATTTGTAGTTCACTTTGTTGGAATTCCTACATCATGCTAAACTATGGCTTGTTTAATCATGATTTGTTGAATAAATCAAATTGGCTGCTTCATCCTACATGCTAGTTCACACACCATGGGCTATAGCACCTCATCACCCACTATACCAGAGCAGAAAAGCAATATTATGGTTTAGTACAATGTGTGAACCCAATGCTCACCTTGGGAGTAGGATGAGCCAGGAACCCATTGCTAGCCCTCATGAATTGATCTAATTAGGAGGCCCTCACAACAGGGACTCATGCAATTATCACCACATGATTGGACTTCAGCAGTGCACTCTACATGGGGCTGCCTTTGAAACCACCTGGAAGCTGCGACTGGCGCAACAGGCAGCAGCCCACTTGCTGGCAAATGAGTCACCATAATCAGATGCTGGCTGTGGTGCAGCCCCTGCAAATGGTTGTCTAGAGGTTTCTGAGTGCAATTCAAAGTGTACACTAACCTATAGAGGCCTATGCAACTTGGCCACTAAGTACATTCAGGACTACCTTCTCCGCCTGTAACTGGCTTGTCCTACAGGTACTCCAAAAAACTCTAGGTACAGTTGCCCAGAACTAAGAAGTCAAGGGGGCAGGACCTCATAATGTTTTTCTCTTGTGGCCCCTATATTACTGAACATCCTTTGTGAAATTAGAGCAGAGCAAACCCTATTATTCTTCCAAAAGCTAGTAAAAAGAGCTTTTCCAGATAGCATATGAGGACGGATGAGAGAGCATCCCTCATATTACCGTAATGTTTCATTATTTCATTGTTTTGGTTTTAACACTGTCATACTGCATGCATGCAGAATACAGCAGTATATAAATGACAGAAATAAATAAGACAATCCTGTTGAAACGTTGCATGGTTATAGCCATTACTACATTTTGTAATAGTAAATCCCTCTGTTTAACTTTAAATTGTTATGTGGAGGATTTTCTTTTGTCAAGAAAGACTTCTTCCTTCAGAGAAAGATTATCTGTATCTTATAAACAGATTCAAAGTTACTGATTGAATTATGCAGTTGAATAAAATTGTTTTTGTTTTTATAAATCAGCACTATGCTAACTTATGCTTTTAGCACAAGTAAAATGTTAAAAGAAAACTAGAAAGAAAACCATTGAAAAACTATCACTCTGACTAGGCTTATCACAATTTCCTTCTCGCATTTTGCATAATTCCTGGAAGAATTATGAGTATCACAAATTTAAACGCATGCACAAATATTCATTTTCCAGTTTGAGCCTTTTCAAGTAACTGTTGGCTGCCCAGAAAACTCATTGTGACACAAAGCCCATCTCCTAGCATGCCCATGGCAGCAAACTAATTTCCCAGGTCTAAATCAAAAGACCTTCATGCCACACTGATCAGCACAATCATTTCTTTTACTGTTGAAGACATAACCATCTCAAAGGAACCCCAACAGCAAACTGATTTACAATCATTTGTTTGGAAGTTTAGCTTCCCTTACACTTTTCTTAATTTTCAAATGGCCTATTACCTTCAGCAAGGCCTTTACTATGTTCCAAGTTTATTTAGATTACAAAGAACAATATGCAGCAAGCATAGCTCCCTTAAAAAGGAAAAAAGCAAAGGAAAAGATACCATAAGAAAACACACCAGTAATGGGCTTTTCAGTTTTATTTGACTCTTAGATAAAATGAAATTGTTAATGTTTTGAAAGAACTACTGGCAAGCTCCACAGCTTTCTTAAAATTCACCAACGGAGGTAAGCTGTAGCTAGACTTTGAAGGAGTGGAGAAAATATGACCTTCTGGTTGTTACTAAAGTGCAATTCTCATCCACCCCAGCTAGCATATCCAGCAACATCTGTTGCATTGTGTAGTAAAGAAACTTGTATCTCAATCCTAGAGTCATTTGATTTCTCTTTTAATCCTCTTCCTCTCCTAAATAGGATAGGCTTGTCAGCACCATCTTCCAATGACCAGAAAGGTACAGTAGTTCAAGATACATCCAACTAAGATGCTGGTCATCAGAAAGGAAGCTGACAGGAAAGAGATACGCTACAGCTGTATTCCCAGGAAGGTCACTGTCACAGTGCACAACACTCACTGTAATTCAGTGCAAGCAGGTCCATGTCTGAGGTGCTGAAGCCATTTTATAATGTTTTATAAAGGCAGATGAAATTACCCATTTTACTTCTCCAAGAACTCTGCTAATTTAACCCTTGTTTCAGAGGATGAGGTTGAACAGAGCAGTATAACTCTGTTTACATCATGTCTAGGAGAACTTACAGAAGGCTTCAGCCTCTTTGTCTTTAGCAGATTTCATATGCATGCATGTGGAAAGAACCAGCAATAGCAAAACATGGGAAGGCTGTAGTGACAGACATCAGCTGGAGACCCTGTAAAATTATGTGAAAGCAGCAACTGCACAAAATTGGATATATTTCATCCAAGATATGGAAGCCTTCAGGAATAAAACAATATAAACGTTACAACTAACATTCTCAATATTGCCTGCACAGGTATCTCATTTCTGACAGAGATCATTTGTTAGAAATGTATGGTAATGTTAGGACAGTAACATTACCACTTTCTGCACACAAATATCATATACAATGTCTATTGGCTTTTCTATTCCCAACCACTCAGACCTTCATAAATCTCATGTTAATTAACACTTGTTGATCTTAATAGTCCTCTCAAAACTGAAAACTGTGGGATGTATCGTCTGCAAGTCGCTTGTTTGGTGTGCATGCCAGAATAGGTTAGTGAATCAAACCAGAGCATGGGAAGACTCAATCTAGTTCAATATTCTGCTGGCTTATAAAGCCTCACCTGAAAAGCCAGAACAGTTACAGCTAATTTAAACTGAATCCCATACCAAGAAATATACTACTGGTCTCCTTTACATTTCAATGATCAGCTGTTAGGACTGCATTGGTCTAGAATCAGAGAGACATGGATTCAGGTCCACTCTTAACCACCTGATTCATTGGGTAACTATACATTTAGACCAACATTCCTTACAGGATTGTTGCTGTTGGGATAAAGTGAGAGGTGGCCCTTCCAGAGGAAAGGCAGGAAGTGCAATAATAATTACAACTAACATTTGCTGACTGGTATAAAGTCACTACTCTGACAATCCCTATATAATTTATTTCATTCCTGGTGCATGCTTAGAAAATTGATGCATGAAACTGCCAACAACCTGGAAACCTGAACCACAATGTTTTATTTATTTGGTTGACAATTTCTATACATTATCCCAATCATTAGGATTCTGGGCAGTAAACAACAAACAAAAAGAGAAAAAAACCCACAAAGAACCTAAGAAGACACAACCTTTAATAAAAGTCACCCAACAATCATACTAGGGGCCAAAAATCTATGGAATAAGAGACTCTCCAGGACCTTTCTAAATAAAAGGAAAATCAGAGTCACCCGTATTCCTGGGGGAAAGTATGCCAGAATATAAGGGCTGTTACCAATCAGGCCAGTCTGATTTCAGCCCCGTGGATTTTTTATGCGGGTGGGGGTAAGGATTCTCAACAGCCTTTCTCTTGATAACCTGTGGGATGGGCAGAATCTGGCTTGGTATGGTGATTCTTGACATGTCCCAGTCACAAACTATATAGGGCAGTGTTTCTCAACCTCAGCAACTTTAAAATGGGTGGACTGGCTGGGGAATTCTGGGAATTGAAGTCCACCCACCTTAAATTTACCAAGGTTGAGAGACCCTGATATAGGGTTTTACAGGTAATGGTAGCACTTTGAATGGGGCTCAGAATCTTACTGCTACCAACTGCAGTGACCTAAGCATAGAAGGAATCCTGCAATAGTAATGACATTTTCCAATGAATTCTTTACATTTTAAAAAGAGAAAAGACTTCTATAGAAATCTCACACCTATCTTTCTTTTAAAAAAAAAGTATTCCCTACAGATTATCCCTTTCCCATTTTTTATTCCCAGTACTTCTCACTCAAAATGCCTCTGATTTAATTGTTCCCTTCCTGGTAGCAGAGCTTTGTTGTACATTTGCTTGCAGTCCTACTTAAGGCTCCTAGTAATCCTTACCTTGCTTATGAAACAGCAGAAGCAAATCAAAGCTTTTGCAATGGGGAAGATTCTGATTGGATAGTCCAATTTTATTTAAAAATAAGCATTAAAACAACCTCTGGAGCTGCAATTTATGCTGCAGCCACAGAACTAAGCAAGGAGGATGTTTAACTCTTTTTCCTCCCACAGTTTTCTTGAAGTAATACCCACAGGCAGGGGGATCTGCTAATGACTTACTATGGGTTTCCCAAGTCCATTTCTTTATATATTATACGGGGTGGACAGATTTGAGGTTGGCAAGACAGTTTTATTAAAACCCTAAGATCTGCCAACCAACACTTGATGCAGAAGGCAAACACAAAGAACTAAAGAGTTCTGAATATATAAAAACACTGAACAAAGCACACCATTCTTCCATCAGAACATCCCAACCTAATAAAAACACTCCAATTTTCTCATCAACCGAGGGCAGGATGTGTATGTGTGGGCATCCTCGCTGACTACCTACAAATCTAGTACCACCAACATAGCCCGGTTTATCCCCTGCTCCACATGCAGATTCGAGGTTCAAACCGCTGCAGGGCGACGAACCTGCGCCTCGATGACCTTGGCCAAGGAGATCGCTTTCCCCACACTGAAGCTGAAGCGCATCACCCCGCACCGTCGGGCAAGATTTTTTTTAAAGCTCGGAGTCCGCCAAAATGAAGAGGGACAAAAGAGGGAAGTGAGATGATGAGGAGGAGGAGCAGGCCCCCTTTCTGCAATCCTGGAGGGGCGGCGAGGGAAGCCGGAAGCTTTCTTTTCCAAGCCACAAAGCTGCCTGGAGCTAAAACGCGCAACAGGCACCGGCGCCGAGCGCGCTCCTCCTACGGACAACCTTCAGCCCCAGCCCCAGCCCCGAACCTCTCTCACCTTTCGTGACTCTTTTGGCCTCGTTGTAGCTTTTCCACAGGTAGCTTTTCATATCCGGAGGCGGAGCGGAGGGCTGCTGTTGCTGCTGCGGAGCCAGCGTGCAGTACGGCTGGGCTTTTAAGCCGCTGCCGCTCCAAAGGGAAAGCCCGGCGGAGAGATCGGGAAAAGGGACAGCAGCTGCCGCCGCCGCCGTCCTGCCCACGTTGTCTTTCCCTGCCCCCCCACGGAGGACCCTGAAGGTAGGAGCAGCCGC